AATTTTATTTATATATTTTAACAATTTAAAAAAGTAGATCAGAGCTAAAAAAATGCAAAAACACAGGCAAATTTGCTATGTTGGCCTACAATCTAAGGGATAACATTTATGCAATTTTGAACTAAAACCTAAATCTGAATAATTGAAGTCTAAACCTGAACCAGACTTGAATATGAAGTTATGTTCAGTTTGAGTTTAGTTCAAAGTTCATGAACTTATTCTGGTTTGAATAGGAGGTTTTTTTTTTCTTATTTATTTATTTAAATTATTAATATTTTTTTTATTAATTTATTTTTTATAAATTTAATCTATAAGTTTGCTTGTATAATAAATTATATATAGTCTAATGCTAATTTAAAAGTCTATCAGCTATAGCATATATATAAGATAAGATTATTAACTATAACAATACAAAAATTATTTTTAAAATAAAAATGAGTTCTTTATTTGTTATTTTGAGAAATTTAATAATGACAATATAATTACTATAATAACAACTATAATAACAATTATTATAATAACCACAATAATAATTACAATAATAATCATGATAACAATCATGATAACAACTACAATAATAATTACAATAATGATTATGATGATAATTATAATAATGATAATAATAATGTTAGTACTATTAGCAAGTGAAGTAATATTAGTGAGATATAGAGGATTATTAATTAAAACAGCCCTTTTTTATATATAAATTATTTTGAGTAAATTAGGTTTAAAATAAATATAATAAACAAGATTTTTGATCTAAAAATAACATTTTATGGTTCTAGAAATTTTAGAATATATCAGTCAGTAACTCATAACTTTAATTTATTTTAGATTAATTTTATTAATATATGATCGATAAAATTTTTATTACATTATGTATATTGTCCTTGTTAGTTTTTTTTGTTTTTTGTTACTACAGTTAAACCTCATATATAAATGCATAAAAAAAACATTTTTTAGCAAACTTTGTAGACTTTTACTAATCTTTTGGAATTGGTTGATGAACATTTTTATAGATCTTTTGTTAAGGAATTTTCATGTAGTATTCAGTATTTTGAAGCCTTTCTTCTAGACTTTTCTTCTGTTTTTTACTATTTTTAGAGAACTTTCTTAAAGAACTTTCTTGCAGACTTTTCTCTTTTCTTTCAATGTTTTTGGAGAACTTGCAAACTTTCTTCTTGTCTTTTAATGTTTATTAGTAAGTAAACTTTCTTCTAATCTTTCAACTTTTTTAGTAAACCTTGTAGACTTTAACTAATCTTTCGAAATTAGCTAGTGAACTTTCTTGTAGAACTTGTAGTTTTCAGTGTTTTTATAAACTTTTTTGTAAAATTTCCTTCTGTTTTTTAATGTTTTTGGAGAACTTTCTTGCAGACTTTTCTTTTGCTTTTCAGTATTTATTAATAAGTAAATTTTTTTTTATTCTTTTGACATTTTCTAGTAAACATTATAAACTTTTACTAATCTTTTGGAATTAGTTGGTAAACTTCTTTGTAAATCTTTTATTTGTTGAAGAACTTGTATATTTTCATATTTTCAGCATTTTTGAACTTTCTTGTAGACTTTTTTTTTGTGTTTCAATATTTTTGAAGAACTTGCAGACTTTTTTCTTGCTTTCTGTATTTTTTTTGAAAACTTTTTTTGTAGACTTTTCTCTTGTTCTTTTGGCATTTAGTTGGTAAACTTTCTTGGTGAAACTAAAGAAATGTTAATAAGAAAGTCCAACCATATTCTTGTAAATTTTCTTTTAATCCTTTGGTATTTTTTTATAAAGAAATCTTTTGTGAATTTTTTTTTGGTTCTTTAGCATTTTTTTTAGAAAATTTCTTGTTGATTTTTCTCTGGTCCTTTGGTGGTCTTCTGGTGAATTTCTTGTAGATATTTTGACTTTATTTTGAAAAATTTTTTTTATGAATTTTCTTCTGATCTTTTAGGATTTTTTTTGCAAAAGCCTTGTAGATATTCTTTTAGTTCTTCAGCATTTTTCTGGCAAATTTTTTGTAGATTTTTCTCTAAATATTTTAACTCTTTTTTTTTTTAAAGAATTCTTTTTTGAATTACTTTCTGGTCTTTTGGTGTTTTTCTAATGAATTCTTTATAAATATTTTTTTAGTTTTTTAGTATTTTTCTGGTGAATTCCTTGTGAATTTTACTCTAATATTTTGGTATTTTTTTTGGAAAATTTTCTTGTGGATTTTCCTTTGATCCTTTGGCATATTTTTGGTAAATTCTTTGTGAATATCCTTCTGGTCCTTTGGAATTTTTTTAGAGAGAGAATTTTCTTGTGAATTTCTTTCTGTTTCTTTAGTATTTTTTGATAAATTCCTTATAGATATTCTTCTGGTTTTTTGGTGTTTTTCTGATAAATTTTATGTGAATTTCCCTATGGTATTAAGGCAATTTTTTTGGTAAATTCTTTTGTAGATTTTCCTATTGTCTTAGCATTTTTCTACAAATTTTTTGTAGATATTTCTCTGGTCCTTCAGCATTTTTTTGGTAAATTTTATGTAGATTTTCTTCTGATGTTTTGACACTTTTTTGAATTTGAATTATCTTGTAGATTTTCTTTTAGTTCTTTGGCATTTCTTGTATGTACTTTAGATGTATACAATATTTTTATCAATAAACATGCTTAATAAGATTGCTATTATTGTATTAGAAATACAAGTGCATATAAGATTTTTTTTAACAATATAAAATTTTAATTATACTAATTTTTTTCTGCATAAATTGCATTATTATTATTGTAAATAATATGTTTTGAATTTTATATAATATAATAATAGAATAATAATTAAATTTTAAATGTTGTATATTGTATTGTAATTAATATGTATATAATTAGTTATATTGATTAAAATATTTAAATTTTAAATTTTTATTTTGTAAAAAAAATATTTTTGAAAAATCTCATATAAAAAATATGCAATTACAAGCAGACTTTTTAAATTTACATTCTTAATTTTTAGTTCAAGAAGATGATAATTTATTTTTATTAAAATTATTTGAAATTTTAGAAATTACAAAAAATAATTTTTTAGAAAATGAGGTTTGAACTAAAGAAGAGCTTTTAAAATTTAAAAAAATATATTATAAAGAAAAAGATATTATTGAAAACAAATAAATAATAATCAATATTTAGAAAATAAAATAAATTTATTATCAAATAATGATTTTAAAAAATTTTTAGAAAATGTTTGTTATAAAAAAAATTGTTTACAAACTTAAGTTGAATATTTTGTAGTTTTAAAAAGATATTTAAATTTTAAAAATCTTACTAAATGTTTACAAAATATATATTTATTAAGTATAATTTTTGCTATTAAATGATTAAAAATAATTAAAAATTTAAAAAAATCTAA